AGCCTTTTCCCCATGTCCTAGACCCTAGCCAGTCATTCGAACCTATGTCTAAGACCTCCGGACAAGCTAGCAACGACACCCATCTTGTGAGCTCTAACATTTAGAGGTTATCGTCATGGTAAAGGGACGTTAGGATTGAGCATGAATATGCACATATTTTGCATCAAATGGTCCTGTCCCCACTGGTCGAGAGTGAGCGATTCTTCATCATGTTTTGCTCATTTCTTTTACCCCGGTGAGGACCTAGGTTGCTCGATCGTTCGTTCATATGATGTGATCTTCATGCATGAGTAACTGTGATTGGTGAGTCATCGAGGCATGTTGTGTGTTGGTTGATGAATAATGTGAGAACTCTTCTTTTGCACAATCTTAATAAAGTTGAATGTCGTTTGTGGTGATTGCCAAGATTACTTTGGTTTTTTTCCATAGGTCGGTGTCAAATAACCATTGTGATTCATTCGTCTTGTGCCCTATGACATGCCCCAAAAATTGTGTTGAGAAAGAAGTTGTAAGCTTACCTTATTTTGTACTTGGTTTGCTTGGGGACAAGCAAACGTCTAAGTGTGGGGGCGTGATTCGGGCTCAAATGTACATATTCTACCCCCAACGTCTTATTTGTTTAGCTTAGTATTTCATCATTCCTCGACATATTTCACGCTAGGTTGTGCTTGTTTTGATACATTTCAGGTCCTAGCACGTGTGGAAAGGTCGAGGATGAGTTTTGGGATTTTTGGAGGTCAAAAAGTGCAAAAACCGAATAAAAGTTTTGGGATTTTTGGTATTTCATCGTAACAGTGAAGTGAAGGAATCCCAGGAAACAGCCGCAGTTCACGGGCGGATAAGGCAGTTCAAAGTCTCCTAAGACCGTGAACTTGGACCACAAACCATGAACATCGAGCAGTCCAGCGAGGTTCCAAAAGTTACTGACGACAAGGCATTTCATTGTCTCTAAGACCGTGAACTGGGGCCATTGACCGTGAACTCGGGCGAGTGAAGCGGTGCGTTCTGGACAACGCTGAGTTCACAGACGTGTTTAGGTGTTCACGGCCGTGAACTGGCCAACGCGTCCATAAACTGTTCACTTTCGGGCAAATATGAAGATAACAGCGGGGAGAGAGAAAGGAGAGCTGGTTTTTGGAGAAGAATTGATTTCTTTCTCTAGGGTTTCAACCTAAAACACCAAAGGGGAGTTTTAGTGAGAGAGAGAGTGCTAGAGTGATCTTGGGGCATCATTGGAGGCTTGGGTGGAGATTCAAGCCTAGAAGAAGAACAAGAATATCTTGAGCTCAAATTTGTAATATCTCTCTCTCTCTCTCTCTCTCTCTAGAAACTCACTCTTTCTCTTGGGTGTTGTAGATCCCTAACCAATACTTTGTAATTACTTGTTTAGATTGAATGATTGTCATAGGGTATTGTTTAATTCAATGATTGAGGTATTATTCATGTCGATTGTGCATGCTTGTGCTTAGCAATCTAAGGGTTGTGCATGTTTTGTGCTTAGCATCCTTAGGTTTGTGCATTTTGGTGCTTAGCAATCTAATTAGCCACTTTAACCTAGGTTAATTTAGGACAAACCTCAATATTGAATTAAGCAAATTGGTTAAGCGTGATTAAGCCGTCAAACCTTGAGTTGAGTGAGGGAGTAAGTCACCACCAATTGCCTAAACCGAGAGGGGCGAGTCACACGACCCATAATGTTTACCTTGGTTTAGCAATCGAGATTGTGGTCTACGACCATATTTGCATCCCTCTGAGGTTCGCGGTTACCAGTTTGCATCTAGGTTGGTTGTGATTAAGCCGCTCAAACTTCGGTTTGAGGGAAAGACCAAGGCAACCACTGGTGACTGAGTGAGAGGATAGATCCCGTGACAAATCGACCTCCAATGAATCCATCCCGTGACAAATGGACACTAATTGCTCCTCCTAGTGGTTCCCCTAGATCTGGTGAGTGGATCGATCCCGTGACAAATCGATCGCTAGTGATTTGATTTTGTGACAAAACGATCACTAGTTGCGCACCCCCACGGTTCACAACCACCTACAGCACACGACTCCATTCAATCCAACGAGTCATGGTAGCTAGTTAGGGGGAAGCAACTCCCGAGTGAAGCTCCCTTAGTTAGACTTTCCCTTTATTTACTTTTCTTTGCTTGTTTAGTTTGTAGTTTCATTAGCTCTAAACCCAAAAGTTGTTTGCTAGATAACAACCTAAGAGATTGAAGTAGGGTTACATGGATTGGCCCGGGTTGACAATTTAAATACTTGCTCTATACTGCACCCGACTAGAGTTTAAGAACTTGGGATCTAGTCGGATTAATTTGTGGTGTAGTTTCGTGCGAGTCAATATGGCATAACCTCAAAAGCGCATATGTTTCCAGATTGATTCAAGTTGGTAACAACGAGTCAAGAGCCGACTTGGAGAAGGATAATCAACTTAAACAGGTGCACATTACAATATGTCAAATGACAATAATTCACAATATGAAAGTATTGTCACCCATGGAACCATTGACCATAGCAAAATTTTGTTCTTGAAAAGGAAATACCAACCCAAAACAAGAACCAACTGCAAGTGGAGCAATGAAAAAAACTTAAGACAAAACACCTCTGGAGCCCAATTGCCACTCACCACATAGACCTGGAGAAAGGCTGAAAAGTGCAGCGAAAAGATCACGTCCAACTCCATTTCTAGGACACCATTGGACCGAGCAAAAGAGAATAACATAAATGTGACACAAGCCGATTGCCACTCACCACATTGACCTGGAGAAAAGCTGCAAAGTGCATTGAAAAGATCACGTCCAAATCCATTTCTAGGACACCATTGGAGGAGAGCAAAAGAGAATAACATAAATGTGAAATAGGAGTACTGCATAGGAGAAGCCAAGCCACCACCCCTATAGAACTGCCGACAGAGGACTGCCAGTTTGAACATTATTTTTATCACAGGGAACATGGACCAGTGGAAGAACGCCAGAGCAAGTAAAATGACAAGACGATGAATCACATGGCAGATGACATCAACCCAAGAAGGAAATAAACCACTTATCACTAACTTAACCCTTCCAAATATCAGAAACACATCTCTTTCGAAAGATAGAAGAAGTGACCCTTAGGCAGCATATTATCGGCATTACAAACCTGGTATAACACGATTTTGGGAATTAAGCTCAAATGTCCAACCATACAAAATAGAATTGATCATAACTTAACAAAATAAAATGCGTCTCAAGTGCACAACCTTAGATTTTTACAGCAGTAAGGTGGCTAGTCAATATCCTGGTTTCTTATGGGTTCCATAGTGACAAAGAATTGATCAGAGTACAACGCAGCCTCATATGCAGTAAGTTTCATAGTCTATGTGATCTTGCATCCAACATGCACAAAATGATAAGCAGAAAAAAGTGACAAGAATGACGCACCCGATTTTGCAGTGAGTTGCCTAGTCTATACGACCTTGCAACCAACATGTGCAAGATGACAAGCTGGAAAAGTGACAAGACTCTTCCGCATGTAGTTACTCATGGTCGAATAAAATGCAGACTGTTCTGAATTATTCGAACCTTCACGCTCAACATTCTGTAACCCGATTCTTTTACACTAGTTGTTATTTCCTACTCCAACGATAGAAGGAACTATAGAGGTTTATGTCAAGGCTACAAGACTAGAGTCAGTACAGATCTCACACACGCTTACCTTCTTTCTCAAATGACTCAATTTTTAAGACCACAAACCAGAGGCTTGAAGAATAGCAATATAGCACAGAGGAAAAGTTCAACACATTCAGGGGCAACGACAACAGTCTGGCGTGTCAACTAAGATTAAGAATGATTGAATTCGAGGATCAACAAACTAATATATGCAGAACCGAAACCTGCCACTTTAACCATACGAATTAACAACCATATCATTTTTTCTCTCAGGTTTACTATACACATTTAAAATGGTAAACCAAGAAAGTACTAGAACCTGATTCTACTGTCCATGGGCAAATTACAGTAGACACAAAAAGCAACTAAGATGGCCTATTTTGTGAGAAATTGAGTGGGAGGAATACTTTACCAAGATTAAGCACAAAACATATATATGTTTGTAGTAAGATTGAAAAAACTACTTATTTTGTCATGCCAACCCTTAAGAACAAAAAGCAGGTGCAAGACTTGGAAAAATGAAAACATGTCACACTGAATTCGGACTTACGCTTAGGAGTTGTAAATCAGAATCAGCTGTACCCAAAGTTGTTTCACCGACTTCTCAATACTACCATCCATCTGAAGAAATCAGATAAGTTTACAGGGTTACTTCGAGTAGAAAGTCCTAACCAGTCACCCCCATAAGAAAAACTAACAACCTCGTACGTGCCCAACCACCTTCTTCTAAAAGCGTAGTAAACATCAACATAGGATTGTCGAACACATATTCAAATTGGATTTATGTTCTAACTTTCAAACCATTATCACCAATACTACCATCAATACGATACTAAAGGCTGAGATTATAAACAAGAACAAGCATCCAAAGCAACTCTTATACAACGATCTAGCTTGTGGATCCCAATTCTCGTAAGCACATTTATACCTGATTACCAGTATTGAAGGATCACAACCATAAAGGAATAGGTAAACCGAATTACTCACAACACTATCATATCCAAACACTATCAAATCATCATCCATTTCTCATAGTTTTCAGCACAAACTAGCTTCAGAAACCACAACAACCGGACGCATGGTTCCAAAGTGAAAACAATCAGACTGTAAGACCTCACCATCCATATTTTGATGGAAAGAGCTTGCTCGACAAGATTGTGAGCATCTCCACGTGAAGAGACAGGCACACAGATTAAGCGGGGTTGCCCTTAGGTCAGGTACTTCAGAAACCACGACAAACAAACTTAATGGTTCCAAAGTGAAAATTGTCAGAGTAGTACCTCCCCATCCAGATTTGATAAAAAAAGATTGCTCAGAAGATTGTGAGCATCTCCAAGTGAAGAGAAGGAACCCACGGATTAAGGAGAGTTGCCTTCAAGGTCCATATTCAAACGCTAACCTTATGAAATATGAAGAACCTAACAGATCAACAATTAAAGATTACATCTAGGATCCAACAGAAATTGGAAAGTGGGGCAACAACCAACAAGATTAGCATTAGTTACCCCCTCATGTAAATAATGAACTGCTATTTACCGCCCGTATATTTACTATTTGCCGCCCATAATTTTATCAAAAATTACATTTTTACCCTTTGGAAACCCTATTCCTAAAAAAGACCCACAGCCGCCGAAACTCACCTCCCTCACGCCGGAATCATCGTCATCTTCTTCCTTTGCCCTTCGTAGAATCATCGTCGTCGTGTCCTATCTTGGCGTCGGCTCGGCGTTCACCGTCATCATAGTCTTCTTTGTTCCCTAATCCAAGCCCAACACAGACCGATAACAATAATAGGAAGGGGAGGGAAAAGGTAGAAGCTGCAGTTTGGACCAGACGCCTCGGTCCGACACCGGCGTTCGAACGGCGTCCGACGTCAGCGTTCGAACGGCGTCCGATATCCGGCATCGTACCACGTCCGGAACTCGACATCGGACGGCGTCCGAAATCTGGCGTCGGACCGCCTCCGAAACCCGACGCCGGACGGCGACCGAAACGCGCCGTCGTACGTTAACAGTGTTTTTTTCTTCTTCCAAAAATCGTTTTTTGAATTATTAATTAATTATTTAGTAATTAAATAATTATAAAATACCATAATTAGAATTTACAATTATTAATTATTAATTTCATTCCTGGTGAGACTCAGAGGAAAATTGTAATTCGGGAAGGAAAATTGTATTATGGAATGCTAATTCGGGAAGGAAAATTGTACTTATTTATTAAGGGAAAACGCTAATTAGGAAAAGCCCCAGCAATTTGCATTTAACAACCGTAATTATGGAATGGAATTACTAATTATATTATGTTAAATAAGGGTTTCCGAAATTGCTCCTTAATAACTGAAACCCCACGTCTTCTGTTTTCCTAATTGTCATGGGTTTAATTAAGTAAATTATTTTCCCTAATAAATGTAATTGTTTCCCTTAATTATCCATTGAAAACCCACGTCCAATGTAAATTGGTGCAAGTGTTTCATCCCAGTAATTGTCAATTTGTCATGGTATTTATATATTTTATACCGTACGGGTAAATTAGGTACAAAATACGTATGGATATTTTACTTTGTATTTTAACTTATGATACGTTTAATAATATGTTAATAATCATAAAATATATAAACTGTACCAAATAGTAATTACATTAAAAAAATATTGTACTTAATAGTAATAAAGAATAATCAACTCGACTGACAGTTGCAAAAATGAAAGCACATCTTCCCCCTTCTACATCTCCTACCCCTCCCAAACCCTAAACCCTCATTCCACCAAATAGCTACCTTTAAACTTGACCTATCTAATCATACTACGACATCGTCTTAGAGGCTAAGTCGTCTCTGCCTCCTCTAACAACAATTGTTCACATCGTCAAAATACGTGTGGTAGGATCAAGAAACTTCTCGTTATGACCCCAAGAACCTCCAAAAACCAAGATGGAAATTTGTGGCACTATTCATCCATTTTACCCTGAAACGTCCGATCGAGAAATGCTTGATCCCACCATGTTTGTATCCAAATTTTAGGGGATCTGCGAGAGTTTCAATAAATTTTCACGTCGATATCTCTACCAATTGCGAAAAGATGCTTTTGCCCGACCTTTCACAAGACACAACGAGTCCTCTCTACGTCTAATCGAGAAACGATAGATTCCAACATGTTCCTATCCACAATTACGTTATTTAAAAATAATTTGTCAAAAAATTAGACATTGTTTAATTAGAGAAATAAATTAGACATTAGTTAATTAGGAGAGATAAAATAGACATTGGTTAATTAGGAAAACTTTGCCGCCCGAGTAATTTTACTCCAAATATTATTATAACGTTATTTAAATCATTTTTGAATTGTTAATTATTTATTGAGTAATTAAGTAGTTATATTGTTTCAAATATTTATAAAATCACCCGTCAAAATAAAATATTTATAAAATCTGATAATTAGGCAAATTAAAGTGAGAGTTTTAAGGAAAGATTGACTTTTTCGTTGATCTAGTTTTGGTAAAATTTTTGTTTGATTTAGTCTTTAGCGGTGGAATATTAAATATAAAGGGAGAGTTTTAAGGAAAGATTGACTTTCACGTCTCAACCTCTTTATATTAAATTAATTTCTTAATTAATAACCGATCGTATTAGTGTTTAGCATGGGAAAGAAATCGCCGCCTTCCCAATTAAATATTATATTAAAATAATTATTAAATGCCAAAATTCCTCTAATTAACCCACATATTAATCCATTTCCCTAATCAACATCCCTAATTAGCAACCACTCACGTTTATGCCAAAACACCTCGACATTGATTTTATATTTTCTATTTTCTGCCACGAGAGATATTAAGGAGTTTAAATGTAATACTGGAAATTAGGAGTTAATTTTTCCTAAAACACTTGCAACCGAGAGAAAGGGCGGAAACAAAAAGAGTTAATAATATTAAATCGGGGAAGTGAATTTGAATCAGTTTTAGTAACATTAATTAGGAAAGGAAAAATAATGAATTTAACCCACGTCTCTCTCACCATATCGGATTCCGGGTTTTTCCTTCGTGATTTTCGTAACCACCATCCTTGGAGATCCCGCAATTAATCACTTCTTTCGTAACCACCATTATCATTTAATATAATAATAAATAATATTATTAATCACTTCTTTCCAATTAATCTCCTTCGATTATCAAAAAAAAAAAACCTCCTTCAGACTTTGCTTCCCGTGGAATACTCTCTCCCTCCTCTCCTTCTCCATCTCGACTTTCAGAGGTGGTGGTCTGGCGGCGGCAGGTGTAGTGGTCTGGCAGTGGCGCAGCGGTTTGGCAGCAGCGCGGCGGTCAAACGACGGCGGAGGTAGTCTCATTCGATGGCTTCGGCGATGGTGGTTCAACGCGGTGGTGGTCGGCTAGCAGTGGTGGTCGGTCGGCGGTGGTGGTATGGTGATAGTGTGAGGGTGATGGAAGGAGTGTTGGTAGGGGCAAAAAAGTCATTTTAATTTAATACACGGGCGGCAAATAGTAATGACACGGGCGGCAAATAGTAACCCTCATACAAATAACCCTGAAACCTTAGCTATGACGTTAGAGAAGCTGAAATGACTGGGTGAAGTTGGAAGATGTAATAGTCTATTCTAATAATAATCACCCACTGTAGTCGCTCCATTTCCAACGGCTTAACACCTCTCTTTAGTATCTTCTGTACATGTGACACGCTAAAACACAACACCAAACTGCGACCAATTGTAATCGCAATCCGAAAGTGCAGAGTAGTGGCAAGTTATATTTATCAACCCGGGGTCTAGATCTACTACCTACTCCGTGATTATCTATTATCTAGCAGACTAAGTTGAGTGAATGTGATTTTAGCTAAAGCAGTAAGAAAGCAGGAAATGGTCCGAAGTTCTTAAGCAGGGGAAGAGTCACACGGGAGTAAGTCCCCCTAGTCCCTTAGTTAGGTCAAAGTTGTAATTACCTTTGGTTGATTTACTATTGATTAAACTGCGGAAGATCCGACAGTAGCTTGGAATCTCTTAAGCTGACCAAGCCCTCTCAGACAGACTAACCAGCAGGCGACTAGCCTTCACCGGGATAGACTGCTGAGGCACTAAACAGAGAACTCCACTACTGGAATTGGATTCCAGTACAAAGCAGTAAATCGATTAACTCTCATATAACCAATTCTCTACTACCGATTGATGAAGCTCTAACAACCTAATCAGATTCTATCTATCTCAGGTTGCAGCAAAAATCAAGAAAAGTTTATCAGACTTCAATTGACTCAATGAATCATGCATCAATCGATTATAATCAAGCAGTATATCAATCCAACCGTCATTACAATCAAGATTCCTAACACATGGAACTAGGGTTCTTCATACCCAAGTGAGAGAGGGTTCTACTCCATAGAGAGAGAGAGAGGAAAACAGAAATCAGAGCAGTCATACTCATAAAGATGAGGATAATATGCTCTGGGATGTCGATCTTCACTCCTGGGGATGCAATCTGGGCTTCAATGGTGAGAAATCCACTCCAAATAGCTCCTAGGGTTTGTTCTTCGCACTTTCTCTCTCTAAAACTCTATTTTCTGCTCAAAAAGTCATCCCTCTCAAAATATGAGTTCCTCTCCAATAACACCCGCACAGGTGCAAAAACACGGCCTCTAAGCCCAAAAACACGGTCGTGTTTTAATCAAAAGAGGTCGTGTTTGAGGGCGTGTTTTTCAACAAATCTGCTGCCCATGTTCGCGAGCAACCTGCTTTCACCTCCAAATGTCCCGAAACTCGTCCGCAAGCCATATCTACGTACTAGGACTTGAAATACGACAAAAGCACACAACCTAGAGTAAAATAGGTCAAGGAATGACCAATCACTAAGCTAAACAATCAAGAAATGAAGGAGAAAACATGTGCAAATACGGTATTATCAAATTCCCCCACACTTAACCGTTTGCTTGTCCCCAAGCACGCCAAATCAGACACAAGGTAAGCTCAAAACATTTTAATCGTGCAAACTTCGGGGACATATCATATAGGCACAAAAACACGTGAATCATACTGGCTACTAGACATCGACACACGGACAACCGGAACAGCAACCTGGACAACCACCACAGAGGACATTCGAGTGCAGCCAAATCGGGTAAAGGAAGAGTCTCCCTTCTGTTCACCAACCAACATAGACTTGACTCAACCATTTATTCAAGACAATCACCTCATGCATAAAACTCAAGACATCAGATTCAAGACCGAGCAATCTAGGTCCTCACCGGGGTGTATAATATGAAAATTGAATCACTCACTCTCGACCAGTGGGGTCAGGAAAAAATTTGATGCAAGATGTGCCTACTCGTACTCTCAATCCCTAATGTCTCTTCACCACGACGACAACCTTTAAATGTTAGAGTTCACATATCGTGTGTCACCACTAACTAATCCAGAGGTCTTAGATACAGGTTCAGATGACTGGCTAGGGTCTTGGGCATAGGGAAAATGCCTTTTAGGTGGTGGAAGTATTCATAACACAAGGTTACACAGTTCCAAACGCAACAGATTCACGGCTATTCAAACCACTTACTTTCTTTCTGCCATTCTGCATTACTCATGTTCTTTAGAGCACAAGAGCGAAGGAGCTCACAATAATGTTAGTATTTCTAAACCAGACTGCTAAGAAACACTACTTAATGAGCATGATTCAGATTTTTGGTAGTGGCTCTCTTTAGCTTTCATTCATTTTTTTTTCATTCCTTGAGAGAACCACCACCTCTGCACATTTTTCAAACAAATGCTCAACTTTTAAGAACTATCTCCAACCCTCTTATTATTTTTAGCAGAAACAGTTAGGAACATGCAAAAACCACTCTGTGGAACCTTCTAAGAGATGCAAAAGAGTGATTTTTCATTGTAGACCGAAAGAAAGAAAGTGACACGGCTCAAAGGGGCTGACTAGGGGGTATGACACAGCAGGACAATCAATTTGGTCATGGAAGAGGGATCTATCGCACAAGAAAGAAACGAGCAGGCTCAAATCTCACATGGCTACCTATATGCCCTATCACTCATTCTGATTCCCTGAACTAGATGCATAGTCAAGAATAAGTGAACAATCCAAGTCACAGTTGGTAAGCAAACATTTGAAAAGCTGGACCCCTACACAACTCTACTGCACGTCTCAGTCATCATTATAGGTTGTCCTAGTCACAATCCAGTTGTCATGCATCAACTCTAACAGCCATTCGATTCACCAATTAAACCACAGTGCCAATATGATCATGCAAACATCAGTACTTGGAGCCCTCAGATCTCGAGATTTGGACAGCGGACTAGGCTCCAAGCACACATATACGTTCCAATAAAGAGAAAGCACCCCCCACACACTTAAGTTAGACATTGCCCTCAATGGAGCAGAGGGAAGGGGAACGATGTTACCGGGAAAATGGACTGTCGGGGGACTGGAAATGAGACCAGTCAGCAGGGCTAGAGTCAGCAAAACACCCTGGGTGATAGAAATCATAGTTCCAAGTGGACAAACGGAAAACAAACGAAAGGAAAACAAACCTTGGTGGGGTTGCCTCCCCACAAGCGCTTCTTTACCGTCGTGAACCAAACGGTGGCTCCTAAGTTTCGGTCCACCCCAGAACCTCCTTGAAATTGAGGTTCTCATCGATGATGTGGAGTCTCAAGTCACAAGCAGGTGATGTGATAGGTGATGAATATGGCTCGTGGCCTTGCGGAAGATGAAGTCTCCACTCTCGAGACCTATCCTTCGCATCTTCTCTTGTCTCATTGCCCCAAACCAGATAAGATACAATCGATTGACCACCATCGCATCCACCAAGAGGTATAGATGTTGATGTGGTCTTGGTCTGGCAAAGAGACACTGCAAATGGGTCCTTGCCAAGCAGCTCCTCGAAGTTTGGTGGAGATATCACATGTAACTCATGGCCGGTGCATTCCTCTTCCACCTCAACTTCATCCTCGGTCTGGACACCACTTGCTTCTTCAACCCCCCCCCCCCCCCCCTTTCTTCATCAGAATGTGGTCTCTCCCCTTGGAAAAGATCAAGAACTTCCTCTTCTTTGCTTTCTTCCTCATCCTCCACAACTTCTTCCCTCACCCTTTCTCGCTCTTCTAGTCTTCTTCTTCTAGCAGAGATTGGAGAGCAAGTCGCCATGTAATTTCTTCAATGAGATCATCTTGCATCTCATCGCTCGGGCCCAGCGTGTCAAGCGAAAATGGGGAAAGTTGTGATCTACCACCAGAGGATACACTTGATCTTGATTATCATGGGAGCTTTCCGTGACAACTTCTGTATGCTCCTCATCATCCTCATGATTTCCATATTTTTCCTCCTCCTCTACTTGTATGGCAGCATAAAGGTTGTCTTGAGAAAACTGTGCGCAAGCTTTCTCAATGACCTCTATGTGCTTCTTTATGCTCCGAAGGGTATCCTCTGTTTCACGGGGAAAGGAGAAGTCAGTTTGGGCAATGGCCTGGATATGAGGATCCATCTCAGGAAAGGATCTCTCAAGTACTCGAGCAATATGCTCCACGAGAAGCCTCAAGTGATAGTTTGGATCTGGCTGTGGAGTGTAGCATGACTCTGCTGGATGGCCCGTGAGGGCTGTGGCTAAATCAAGATCTGATGGCCCTTCTAGTTGTTGGAGGAATTCTTCTTGATAATGAGATTGTTCTTGAAATACCCAAGGGTCTGATTGTTCTTCGTAGTAGGGGGGTTGGTACTGAAACCCGACTCCATAGTCTTCTCCTCGTTGGTTGCTCCAGGAAGTCTAGGGGTAATACCACTCGGATGGTGGTGGATACCCCCAATGGTTGAAGAAGCCATGAGTAGGGCTGGAAGTTTGGTACCGGTATTTGGGATATACCGAATACAGTACCGAATTTATCTATATTTGGTATTACCGAATACACGTATTATTTTGTGGGATTGGGATTGGGTTTCAATTGTTATTCGGTATTAGGGATTACAGGATTGGGATCGGTATATACCGAAATACCGATCAATACCGAAATATAAGCTAGTGTGTATTTATCCTCTCAACTAGACTCTCTCATTCACTACTACGCAACCCTCAACCACCAAGAGTGTCATTTAATTATAGGCTAAATTACACGTTTGGTCACTCAAATTATACAAATCTTTCACGTTTGCCACCCGAATTACTTTTCTTTCTTATTCGCCACTAACTTTACGAATCGTTTCACGGTTGGTCACCGGCCGTTACACTCCGTTAAGTCTGTCCTACGTGGCAGTCAACTATAAAGTTTGACCGTTAACTAGATGACGTGGAAATTAAAAAAAATAAAAAAAAAAAAATTTCTTTCCACCTCATCATTTCAGACCGGTTCGGTTTGTGATTCTTGGGTGGGTGTGGCTTAACTAATAAATTAATAAAACAAAACAAAAAAAACTAAAGCAGGCTACGGATCCCTTCCTCTTCCACTCCTTCATTCTTTTCTGGGTCCCTCGACGATAACATCTCCGAGAGGGTTAAGAAGCTGTAAATGATCCAATACGCAAGCCACTGCTCATCGTCCTCCTTACCAGGGCTCTCTATCTGCTCAACTCCAATTCCAATTCCAATCAAATCCAAACCCTAACCAACCACCACCATCACCAAAATCAAAACCAATCCACGCCACATAGGATTCAGAAACCCGAAGCCCTAACCCACAAGAGGGAAACCAGACGGAAATCGAAGAAGCGTAGAGAGCTAATCATCGCCGCCGCCGCCTCATCGGCACTTGCTCTCCTCCTCCTATCCTCCGCCGCGAGCTGCCTGCTCTGTTTCTACAAGCGGAGGAAACTCGCGGGCCGGCAGAGGAGATGGGCCATCTTGAAGCCGGTCCAGTACCCGTACAAGATGGAGAAATCGGGCCCGTTCAGCTTCGCGACGGAGTCCTGGACGTCGTGGGTGGCGGACATCAAGGAGCCGAGGTCAGCGTCGGTGGTGATGTGCTCGAAGCCGCTGATGAGCTTGACGTTCAAGGACCTCATCGCCGCCACGTCACACTTCGGGAAGGACTCGCTCCTCGCGGAAGGGAGGTGCGGGCCCATGTACCGGGCCGTCCTGCCCGGCGACGTACACGTGGCGATCAAGGTCCTCGGGGCCGCTTCGACCCTCGTCTTTTCATGTAAGCCAAACAAATCCCGTACTCTCTTCAGATTTCAGATCCGCGATCAGATTGGAAGATGTCAATCTTTCTTTCTTTCTAAACTAAAAAATTGGAACCCTCAATTCAATTTGCTACTGATGGTTCAGGTATGGGAGCAGCCTACGGGACGGCGAAGAGCGGCGTGGGAGTGGCGTCGATGGGGGTGATGCGGCCGGAGCTGGTTATGAAGTCGATTGTTCCAGTTGTTATGGCTGGAGTGCTCGGTATCTATGGTCTGATTATTGCTGTAATCATCAGCACCGGGATCAACCCTAAGGCCAAATCGTACTACCTCTTCGACGGCTACGCACATCTTTCGTCTGGATTGGCCTGTGGTCTGGCCGGACTCTCTGCTGGCATGGCCATCGGCATCGTTGGGGATGCCGGCGTCAGGTATGTTCTTAGCGATTCTGGTTTCATATCAGCAATCTGATATATAGATTTCATGTGAGGTTATTGTAAGTGAAAGGAATTTTGGCCATGTCAAGTGGGAAGGACTGAAAGTAGAAGAGTCTTTTTGTTTCTCTAAGCTTCTTAAGCCGGAAGGACCCAGAAAAGAATGAAGGAGTGGAAGAGGAAGGGATCCGTAGCCTGCTTTAGTTTTTTTTTTTATTTTATTAATTTATTAGTTAAGCCACCCACTCAAGAATCACAAACCGAACCGGTCTGAAATGATGAGGTGGAAAGAAATTTTTATTTTTTTTATTTTTTTTTAATTTCCACGTCATCTAGTTAACGGTCAAACTTTATAGTTGACTGCCACGTAGGACAGACTTAACGGAGTGTAACGGCCGGTGACCAACCGTGAAACGATCCGTAAAGTTAGTGGCGAATAAGAAAGAAAAGTAATTCGGGTGGCAAACGTGAAAGATTTGTATAATTTGAGTGACCAAACGTGTAATTTAGCCTTTAATTATACATAGATCATTACATCACTATTTCACACTAGTAGTAGTCGTCTCTCAACTTCAAATTCATCAAATTAAAGATTACAAATTACAAAAACTTGAGATGTTAGCTCTAGGCAACTTAAGACTCTTTGCTTAGTCTCTTTGACCTAAATTAAACAATAAAATCTAATTTATATATTTAATTATTAATGGCAAACGTAATTAATTTTGTATTTGATAATACCGATTAGGATACCGAGGTACAGATTGGGATACCAAAATATTTAGGGATTGGGATACCAAAATTATTTAGGGATTGGCATTGGGATTGGGATTGATTTCAGGGTGTAATTCGGTATTCAGGATTTCGGTATTTGATATTGGGATACTGATACCGATACCGTACCGATTTTCCACCCCTAGCCATGAGGATCAATGTATCAGATCTGCACCTACAAATACATAACACACAAGTGAAAAGCAAGGGTGGAAAAGAAAAGAAAAATGCTAAAGTAACAGACTTTCACGTTTCTACAATAACCTAGAGGTCCCCAGCAATGGTGCCAAAAACTTGACACGCTAAAACACAACACCAAACTGCGACCAAGTGTAATCGCAATCCGGAAATGCAGAGTAGTGACAAGTTCTATTTATCAACCCGGGGTCTGGATCTACTGCCTACTCCGTGATTATCTATTATCTAGCAGACTAAGTTGAGTGAATGTGATTTTAGTTAAAGCAGTAAGAAAGCAGGAAATGGTCCGAAGTTCTAAAGCAGTGGAAGAGTCACTCGGGAGTGAGTCCCCCTAGTCCCTTAGTTAGGTCAAAGTTGTAATTACCTTTGGTTGATTTACTGTTGATTAAATTGTGGAAGATCCGGCCGTAGCTTGGGAAAGTCCTCCCTCTCAAAATAGCTCCTGGGATGTCGATCTTCACTCCCGGGGATGCAATTTGGGCTTCAATGGTGAGAAATCCACTCCAAATAGCTCCTAGGGTTTGTTCTTCGCACTTTCTCTCTCTAAAACTGTGTTTTCTGCTCAAAAAGTCGTCCCTCTCAAAATATGAGCTCCTCTCCAATAAAACCCGCACAAGTGCAAAAACACGACCTCTAAGCCGAAAACACGGTCGTGTTTTAATAAAAAAAGGTCGTGTTTGAGGGCGTGTTTTTCACAACAGAGGTCGTGTTTGAGGGCATGTTTTTCAACAACTCTGCTGTCCGTTTTCGCGATCGACCTGCTTTCACCTCCAAATGTCCCGAAACTCCTCCCCAAGCTATATTTACGTACTAGGACCTGAAATACGACAAAAGCACACAACCTAGCGTAAAATATGCTAAGGAATGAACAATCACTAAGCTAAATGTTATAAACGCGCTGCTACGGATCGGGAAATCGCCCAAATCGATAAAGCAATAATACGAAAGCGAGAACCGAAAAACACAGACACACGATTTACGTGGTTCACTAACACGATGTGTGTTAGCTACGTCCACGGGCGAGAGAGAGCCAGTTTCACTATATCGAGGAGATTACAGATTACAGAGGAGTATGAGAAGTATTTATAGTACTTCTCCATGTGGGTCTAAACCTAATCCAATCTGGCAAAGGAAACGGTTACAGACCAGGCCCAGAACAGCGAGACCCCCGACTACCAGTCGTAGCGTCTGATAGTCCGATTCAAGTCACATCAACACTAAATGATCAAGAAATGAAGGGGGAAAACACGTGCAAATACGGTGTTATCAACATGCAACCCAAAAACCCGTCTATATGTAGCAGCCAGTAAGAGCTAACACACTCAAAACTTGAGCACAAAGGGAACTCCAGAAATGGAACAGACCGTAAATGCAAGCAATAGTCGATACTTGTCTAACAATCTAATATAAACATTTTCATATATCCTCATGTTGACTAAGCCGTCAGATTTTAAACCCACAAATAGGAGAGAACACCCACACTAGGGATGAAATGGAAATATTGGCAACTTGGCATCTGTAAGCCGGCCAAATCGAACCTCATTAATCTAAAGACTAAAATAAAATGAACTCTTTTGCAGTGCAATACCTCACACTTAAATAAACAGATACTTCTGCTAATCAAGACCTTCATGCTTAACATTCTGATACCCACCTCTTGTCTTGTGGGGAAAATCCACTCTTTAAACCAGCAAGTGCGAGTATCAATAATTCCAGAGGCTTGGGGAGGGGAAATAATGTATACAAGACTCGTGACATAGTATAGAGAAACCAAACATGCAATGGTCTGAACTACAATCATTACATGATGGAATGGCACAAAATTTCGAGATTTTTCCAGAAATAGCACCTTTAAAAAAAATTACAAAACTAGCACCCTTCCAAAAATATTTACAAAACTAGCACCCTTTTTTATTGACCGCACCCTTGTGGTGCGTTTTACAAATAAACCGCATCCTCCGGGTGCGTTTTATATGTAAACCGCACCTGGAGGGTGCGTTCCATTCTGGTGGGCCTAAAACGCACTTTGGCCATGCGTTTACAGGTCTGGCCTACATAAAAACGCATGACCGAGGTGCGGTTTAGGCCTGACCTACGCAAACCGCACCTTAGTGATGAGTTTTATTCCTCCAAGAATAAACCGAATCTCTAAGGTGTGGTTCGCCCAAGTAGAACGCACCCCCCAAGTGCGGTCTATGTGTCAATAATTTTCCGACACCCGACACACCCATGCAGAGAATTATGGACGTAGGGCTGCATGGCAGACTAAAACCGCACCCTAGAGGTGCGGTTTTTGTCATTTTTTCCCTATATAAGACTAGCCGGAAAACCTCTACTCTTCACACCTCTCCTTCTCTCTTTCATTTTTCTGTTGTATGTCTATATTTATTTAGTGTTTTTGCCATTAACATTAACTCGTAAGTTTATTTTGTGTTACTTTTTATGCCATTAACATTAACTCGTAAGTTTATTTTGTGTTACTTTTTATTGTTATTTGTGATTTGTGATTTTTATGATATTAACTAAACTACGGTTTGTTTGTGTGCAGATGGCATTCCATCAGTTCACGCTTGGCTTACGGTGGAATGGTTACACGGAAGAGACCGGAAAGGGGGCCACCTACGTCGGTGGCAATTTTCAGAAAATAACGGTCGGTACCAGACCGAAGCTTGAAGACCTCCATCAAATATGCACTGACGTTACTTGCATGGATGGCACGAGAAGAGTAGATCGTATGGTGTACCGATACCCAAACAGAGCAACTGGGTCATTGTGGCATGAGGAATATACCATAACCACTCAAGATGACGTAGATTCCATGCTCGAATTCTTGAGGTCCAACAAATTGGCCAAAGCCGAGATGTTCGTTTACATCGAGCCAACCGTTGTTGTTGGAGGTCATTCTGGACACGGTCAAACATCTGGTATCCATGGTGGAGGTGAATTATATGACGATCATCCCTACCAAAGTTACCATGATCCTCATTCCTATTTTCAGTACCAAGATGGAGGGCAAGGTGCAGGCCATCATCAATCTTTCTCGTCATATGAAGAAGAAGTTCAACCGGACGTCCCCAACCAAGCCCAGTACAACTTCCATTCAGGCAGCGGTAGTTTTCACAACTACCATTATGGAGCTGATGAAGGTGCCTTTCATGAGCAGGATCAGATGGAGGCTGCCACACCATCACCAGTCAGCGACCCCTCTGATGAAGAAGGAGAGAACAACTTCAGTGCAGACAGCTCAGACCCTCTTGAAGGTGCTGATGATTCTGCACCAGATTCAGATTCAGATAATGATCATGATGTGGCTCCTGATCGTGTACCAGTCCCCTACTACACTCACATTCCAGACGACAATTGGATGGTCGACAGCGACATGGAGCCGCCAGAGGTCCCAATATGGAGCCGCCAGAGGTCCCAATATGACTCGGCATTTTGAATGGCACACAACTCATTCCAACACCAAAAGGCTCATAGTCAGATGCCGTAATCATCACGAGGGGTGCAATGTTAGGATTCGGGCCATCATCAACAGCAAGAGACACGGCAACTGGGTCATATCCCGTGCGGTCAACACACACACATGTGTGTCATCCATAACTTCCCAAGGCCATCGACAGTTGAAATCCAGGGTGGTAGCTGCGGCTGTCAAGCATCTGATTGAGGCTGAACCGGATCTGAAGGTCAAAGTCATAATCGCTGACATTGCAAGTCGTTATGGTTATATGATTAACTATAAGAAGGCGTGGCATGGAAAGCAGAAATCTCTGGCCGCCGTCTTTGGTGATTGGGAAGAATCATATGCATTCCTTCCCAGGTTATTAATAAGACAAGAATGAAACTACAATAAGATAAAACACAAGGGAAAATGTGTTATGACAACATGATGGGGTATGAGAAGTTTACCTTGCTCCATAAGCTTCACCTCTTAGGGGATGATCGATTGGCCAATCCCTGTCTGGACGTTGGGCCGGTGCAAGCCATGGCATATGCTCCCAAGCCCAAAATTGGACGATGAACATTGCGCCGCTGACCTCCCTCACGGCTTTTAGAGACGCATTGCACAAGTTGTGGTAGATCATAGCTAGGCAAGCGGATGCCCAACTATACTCCCCCATCT